AAAACAGAGGCGGAGGAAGCACGAACCACGTCTTCCCTCCTGAATCTTCCCGAAACAACGGGCACCGGTAGCAAGCTCAACTCCTACCTGAAACTGTGAGGTGGCCTCCCCCGTGAAGGGGAGGTCAGTACTTGGAAGCATTTGACAAGTACAATGACAACTATACTAAGTATAATCAATGTTTCAATTTCCAAGACCCTCAAATAGGGTGATATAATAATATAGGTCGTAACCCGTGGTTACCCTCTTTGAAAATATACTTACTTTATATAAAGTCAAGTAGTCGGCCCGAAGACCCGTATGCATTTTGTAAGTCCATCCCCCTTTTCCCCCGTGACTATTTGTCACGAATGTCATAAACCTCTGGTAAATTTACTCATAGTCATTTGGGCATTTCCCTATTACATGGCATAAACATCACCGAGCCTCGCCCGGTTATACTATTGGGTCATACTAGAGCCATGCTCTTAGTCTCCCTTCATCGTGCTAGAGCCTTGCTCCTAGTCTCCCTACATCATACTAGAGCCCCGCTCCTAATTTGTCTACATTGGATAGAGCCCCGCTCTTAGTCCGTTTACATCATACTAGAGCCCCGCTCTTAGTTAATTTACATTGGCTAGAGCCCCGCTCTTAGTCCATCTACAGTATACTAGAGCCCCGCTCTTAGTTAACTCACATTGGCTAGAGCCCCGCTCTTAGTCCATCTACATTATGCTAGAGCCCCGCTCTTAGTCACCATCCCTACATGCTAGAGCCCCGCTCTTAGTCATCATTTCAACATGCTAGAGCCCCGCTCGTAGTCGCGTTAATCAATCCCTAAGCAATTCCTATGCCTAGAATCGGTTCAGATTGAGTAGCCTTTAGGGCCTACTCCTATTATACTTAGAGCTTACACGTCTCGACCTTAAAGTATCTCTTAGGACTACTCAAGGTATAATTTCCTCACAACCCAACTCATTGGATTAATCTATTGTTTCTCATATTAACATCTCGGCTAGTATTTCAATACTAGTTGAATAAATTTTGAACAACCAAGTTCTTAACCCATAGACACATAGTGTATTTCAATTTATCTTCCAATTCAAATATAATTACTTCCCAATATCAAAATATCACTTTTACCCATTCATGAATTCTCTACATGACGCAAAGTATATTTTATCTCCATATTCTTAGTTCACTCAACTATCATTCCATCATATTCATAATCACGTATCCATACACACTTCCTTCGCAATTCGCATATAATACTTCAATTACTCATAAGCAATTGTATTTTCATTTAGGCATTTTTACTCATTAATAATCCATGAAAATCACATTTAAATACTTTAGGTAATCTTATGAAATTAACCCAAAGATTATAAACAACATAGTCAGCCATCCTCACCTTATGAAGTGCTGGATTAGTTGCCTTTGATAAGCCCTTCGATCGATCCCCGTTCTAAACCGATCAAAAGCGAAATTCCTGGACAGTAGCCCAAAAGCCGGGCGGCTTTCACCAAAAGCCGGGCGGCTTTCGTAGTCTGCAACTACGAACAGTTTCTTCTCCTTGGCGGTTTCCGGTGGTTTCAACTCCTATTGGTTCCACGACTCTCCTAAGTTAAATACCACCCCTATATAACATTATTCCACACTTTTAAACGTGTAGAACTCCATGTTCGATCCACCATATGATTTCTTAAAAATCATACAAACAATACTAGTTAAATAATAGAGGTGTATTCTTACCTCAAGAACAACCTTCTTTCTCCTTGGATTTTCTTCTTTCTTGTGCTTCTTCACGTTCAGAATCAGTGGGGAGAGTTTCCTGGAGCTTCCCTCTTCTTGTGGTTCGAATGGGCAATGGTAGGATGGGAGAGGAGTAGCCTTATCTCCCCAATCAATCCCAAGACAAGTCCAAGTAGAGGACATGGGATGAATAGACTTGTCTCCATGGTGTTTCCTCCCTCTTGCACGCACAAGTCAACATGTGTGGCTCCTCCTCCCTTATTTTTGAGTCATTTTAGTGTATAGAGTACACCAAGTGGGTGTAGGAAGTCCCTCCCAATTATTCCTGTCATTTTCGGTAGGTCGGGCCGAAATAGCACTCGGGTTGTCCAAATATTTTTATCAACTTCGGTTGGCGTTTTATTGGACTCCTATAATTATTATGATAACCCAACTAAATATTTGGTAGTCCATTCTCGTATGATGGACCCGATAAATAATTTAATCAATCACACATTAGTTAAATATGCCAATCAATTCCACGAATTTTATTCGTTAGGAAATGCAAATACATATCGTCTTTTAAATTTCAAGTACATTCGGGTGCGGTGTCACACCCTCGGTAACTGTGCTTCCTCTGCAACCAGTAGCTTGGAGTTGGGTGGACGATTTGCTACATTACATAGCCGACGGTACGTTACCCGACCAAGAGGAAGAAGCGAAGCTCGTCCGGCGACGGGCCCCGGGCTATGTCGTCCTGGACGGTAAGCTATACAAGCGATCTTACAACGGAGCATTGTTGAAGTGCCTGCGACCACATGAAGCAAACATGATCGTCGCGGAGTTACATGGTGGAGTATGTTCGGCCCACCAGGGAGCTTGCACCTTGGCCAGGAAAGTGGTCCTCCAGGGATACTTTTGGCCCACAATCATGAAGGATTGCGCTGATTATGCAAGGAAGTGCAACACCTGCCAGAAGTTTCAGAAGAGCCCCGGAAGGCCGGCAACTATGTACACACCTATTAGCACCGCTCTGCCATTTACCCGGTGGGGCATAGACTTGGTTGGTCCCTTACCAAACGGAGCGGGGAATAGGAAGTTTGTCATCGTGGCCGTGGACTACTTCACGAAGTGGGTGAAAGCGGAGCCGCTCGCCAGCATAACGCATCTGCAGTGCAAGAAGTTTATATGGAAGAGTATCTTTTGCCGATTTGGGGTCCCTTTGCAAATTATTTCCGACAATGGAAGGCAATTCGACTGTGAACCGTTTAGGCAGTTCTGCGCCGAGTGGGGCGTGGAGTCAAGTCGAGTATCTGTTTGCTATCCCCAGGCAAACGGGCAGGTGGAGAATACCAATCGCACGATCGTAGACGGGCTCCAAAAGAAGTTGGAAGCCCTTGGAACGGCGTGGGTGGAAGAGCTAAGTAACATACTCTGGACGTTCCGGACCACCCCCAGGAAGGCGACGGGCGAGACTCCTTTCGCTCTGTGCTATGGCTTCGAAGCAAGGGCACCCTTCGAGGCAGTGATTCCCAGCCGACGGGTGGAAGAGTTCGAGCCAGTTGACAATGAGGAGAGGCTCAGAGCCGAACTCCACCTCATAGAAGAAAGAAGAGACCGGGCGTTCATCAAAGCGGAAAATTATCGTAGGCAAGTAAAAGCGTACCAGGACAGCAGGGCAGCACCGTGAAGTTTCGACGTAGGCGACTATGTGCTGAGACGAAGGAAGGCAAGCAAACCGACAGAAGGGGGAAAGCTCGCCATTAAGTTGGAAGGACCCTATGTTGTTGAAGGCGTGGTTGGGCCAGGAACTTACAAATTAAAGACTACGACGGGAAAGCTTATCGACCGCGTATGGAACGCAGAGCATTTACTTAAGTTCTATCGGGCCGAAGATATGCGAGAGGTCGTGCTCCGCGCCCCTCTCGTACGTCTATCGTCTAACGTTGCTAGGCCTAGCAGCCCGCATACTCGCTCGATACAGTCAACGGTGCAGGTCCGTTCTAGTCTTACCATATAGGGCCTTGCCCTTACGTTTGGCCGACTTTAGCTCGATTTTCAGAAAGGGATGATTGAATTTCTCCTAAGTAAGAAATTATCTATACAAGTCAAGGTGTAAGACTGGCCTACGGGTCGAAGGTGCGCGGGGTGTCGAGCTTTGAGCCCTTCCCGTACATCCATTGTCTGGCCACCCGCCAAACGGCTTGCTCGCCAGTTGGTCTTAGACCGACGGTGTGCGGGTCAGCCCGCTTTTCCAAGCAGGGCGCGATCAAGGTTGGCCCTGCCGGCTTTCCGCCCCTCATGGCTTAGGCGGGGAGCTAGATCCCCGATTAATTTCCCAGGTGGTCTCGGATTAAAGATGATTACATGAGGAAGGAAGATGAACAAAAGTGCAAATATGAGATTATGTGACAAAGCAATCTGTGAACGGCCTACCAATCAGGCTATATATTTGTGAATCCAGACAGAAGTGCGGAATGAAAATAAACAAGTAAATGAATAAAGAACAACAAGGAGAGGCCACAATCTACGATCTAGGGATCAGGCAGATTATCGGGAACACTATCTAGGACGGTCACAAAATCAAAGGCGTGTGACGAATCCTCCAGGTCCTCTGGAATATCCAGGTGCAAAAGGGACAAATCATTCGCTTGCTCGTCGGCCCCGTCAGGATCTGGCATGATTTCGGGCAAACCAAACTTCCCGGGATCGAAGTCTGGATAAAACTCTGCCAGCCTATCGTACAACATGGTCTGCATGTCGTATCGGCCGCACCTGAAGGACATGAGAGTTTCCTTATCCCGCCAAAGCTGACCCTCATCAGTTTTCAACCATGCTTGGACCTGCTCCGAGCGGTGAGCCTCCAGCTTTGAAGTGATGATCTCAAAAAATTCCAGGGATGTTTGGAATGCCGCAACTGCCTGACGCCCCGCATCCGTGAACAACGCCTCCAGTCGATCGTACTTTGATTGTAGCAAGTCATATTTCGACTGGAGCTCGGACAGAGCGGCTGCTGCTTCGTCCGCCCGACGCTGAACGGCAACCGAGTGATGGTGAGCCTCGTCAACCTGATGCTGGAGCTCCTCGCGATGGCAATCTATTGTTTGAAGCGCGGTTGCTATGTCCATCAGCCCCTGCAGGAAACATGGAGTTAGTGAGTATTATAACAACAACAATAATAATAATAATAATAATAAAAGAAAGAATGAAGCACCAAATCACGACCTACCGTGCTGTGAGATTCGATGGAGCGCGCCATATCCAAGATCGATGAAACACCGAGGGTAGAAGCTGGATGGTTAACAGGACGAGCCTTGCATTGTTTTCCCGCGATGAACGGAATGGCCTCGGGGAATACGCTTCCTGCCCACGCTACACCCGAAGTTGGTGGAACACTAAGGGCGGGAGCTGGATGGTTGACGGGAGGGACCCTGCATTGTTTCCCCCGCGATGAAGGGAATGACCTCGGTCCTCGAAGGCCGGAACTTGGCGTCCTCCTCTGCGGCCAGGGCGGCGAGCCTGCCCCGCATACCCGCAACCTCTGCAAGAAAATGAATAGGGTAAAATGGAATAGTGTCGGTTGAACTATTTCTCCGTTCCCGAATCAAAGAGGAGGATTCACACCTTTCTTCTTCTTGCGAACTTGTTCTTCGTGACGTGGGGAAACCCCGATCTTCACCCCGGCGTCGACCTCGGGCATGGTGGCATCAGACACGCCCTTGCTTGCACCGGGCATCACGGACTGGGGGGCGACACCCTGCATTGTAGCCAAGGGAGGGGGCACGGCAACCCTGCTTAACATACCTGCAAAAAATAAACAAGAGGGTGATGAAGTCATTTCAGGCGGGGTTTTCTCCTCTTGAATTAAAAGGGAGTTCGCACCTTCTTCGTCCATGAAAACCTGCTCTTCACGGGACGGGGAGGCCCCGCGCTTATCCCCAGGATCGAGCGAACATGAACCCGCACCAGGCGCAGAAGGTGGAAGCATGGTCCCCGATGGCACCTTGGGGGCGGCAGCTTCGTCTCTGTTGCCTGCTACACCAGAAAATATTACCAATTTAAGGGATGATTTTATGTGGTATCTGTGACCCGCGGAGGCAGAAGATTTTTACCTATATACGAGTTTACCGGGAAAGGGCCCCCTTGGAGCAAGGTTTCGACCTTCTCCTCAAGGTCGGGGGTGAGAGAGACAGGCTTATACTCGCGCATGGAATTACCCCAGGTAGACGTGACGGGAAGCGAGCGGGGAGCGGACGCCCATACCCATTTATTCGACCACTTCCTAGGTGATTCTGGGTATTGATCAAAGAGCTTACGATGCGGTGATTGGCAAAGTGACACGAACCCACCGTCATCTGTCTTACTGTTAGGACGGTTCCACCTAAAGCATGCACGGAACAACGGTATGGATGGCCGGATACCAACCCCATTACAGCGAGCGACAAAAGCAGCTGTAAACATATGTGCGGTTGGGGTCATCTGGCATGGCGATATCCCAATATGGGCAAGGAGTGCCACCAAGAATGGACACAAAGGCACCCGCATGCCCCGCGCGATGGACGTAATGTGAACCCCGAAGAACGATTTCGGAGGGGGACTAGTGAGGCTACTCTCGGGATCTGGCAACATGAGGGTGCAATCGCTGCCGACCATACTTTTTGCCAACTTCAAATCTGCCTCTGTACTGGTGGAACGCAAACGTTCCCTCCAGGCGTTAGGATCTTCGACGCTATCCGATCCGCCGTCTGATTTGGATGAGCTATCCGATTGAGAGGCAACGTCCACTACAGGGGCAACATTGTTGGAGGATAGCACGGGCTTGTCATGTGGGGCCCCCGGAGCAGGCCGGAGATGTCCTTTAACGATCACGATCCGCGTAGTGGGTCTGTCCGGCCGCAATGAGGTGGTAGTTGTTTCATGCATCGTAAGATTTTCGGAGGCTCCTTGATTTTTCCCTGATGCCGAAGATTCGGGTTGAGACATTGCATTCACCTCGCTGGCTTGAGTTCGTTTAATCGGGTCTCCATGCATGGACTTTTTCCCCACCTCGTCAGATCGGGATCGTACGGTCGAGCCGCTTGGTGATGACCGAATGTTCACATCGCTGGTTTGGGTTTGCACGGCCACGCATCCAGGTGACGACCGTACGGCCGTCTCGCCACGACGGGCTCGTGCAACCGAATTCCCAGGTCGTGACATTACGTCCACCTCGCCAGGTGGGGCTCGCGCAGACAATACCTGACCCGCCGGATGTTGCTGGGAATGTTTGGCAGAGGGACGACGTTCGCGGGTGGAGACGGCACCATGATGACCTTCGTGTCGCGGACTGCGTTGAGAACCCGTGCGAAGGCCTGGAACAGGAGGAGATAATGACCGTGAATCACTGGGTTTTTTCCGACCGCCTGGGCTTCGCGTTTGCGACGGCGGACGACGTCGTGGATGACCCTCCCTCCGGCGCGACGGAGAAGGGGAGCCGCTGCGTTTCCTTCGTCGGCTGGGGATGGAGTGCTGCGGCGACGTCATGGCTGCGGCTAGAGCGGCTGAAGCTTGGGGGGACCTGGAAGGCTGAAGCGCGTGCGGATGATCGATGGTGTTAGGGCTGGGCCACGCTTGGACGCAAGGAATTTAAAAGAAAAAAAAAGGAAAGAAATTATTAATTAGAATAGCTCCGGGCTATTTTAGGAAGCCCGTCGGGGGTTTCTTTGACGTGCGAATTGACCAAATTAGCGGCATACCAATTGGGCTCATTCTTTACTGGTCGGATCGAAATATACGTGGCGAGGTCAAATATACAGCTACAGAAAACAAGGCCCACACTTTGGAATTTCAGGCCCAAATTATTGAGACTGATGGGAAACATTGCGTACCGTCGGGCCCCCGTCCTTTCGCAAGCAGTGGGGAGCAAGCAAGGGGGCCGATCAAGACCCGCGAAAAATAGCCCCCTCCGGGCCAACGATTACATTGACGAGCCCCCCGGGCTGCTATAACAAAAGTGCGGCTAGCCAGATAATCCAATAGCCGGACCGACCTTTGGGCAGTTGCTCAACTACTCCCTTCTAGCCGAGTCTGCTACTCGACTAAGGGAGTGGGGGACTCGTGTTGGGATAATGGGCCGGGTCCAATACTATCGACCCGATATGCATGGGCTCGGGCGTGAACCAGGCCCAGCACACGGTCCGGCTAGAGAATATGGTCCTTGGATTGATTTGTTTAGCTCTTGGGCCGACCGGCCCATGGACCTTAGATCAAGCTTCTTGTTTTAGTTGTTTAACTGGGCCAAGCCCATTAACTTTAGACAAGCCTCTTGTAAGCGCCTATAAATAGGCTGCTCCCCCCCCCCCCCCCCCTTTGTATTGGACACGTCACTTTTACCATACTGAATTGCTGCCAAATTTTCTACTCAACATATTTTCTCCCAACAGCACCCATAATTAAAGGTAGCTTATTAAGGGTTTGTTTGGCCCATTTATACACCCCAATATTGTCCAGCCCGGTTCGGGCTGAGGGGGCGTGTTGAAGCATTTGTCCCACACCGGAAAGCTATAAAACAATTACACACTATATAAGGCTTTGGGCTACTCCTCCTATCAGGTTGACCTTTTAGGATGGAACCCCGGGTCTTAACAAAGTGGGTTTGCGATTGTTTCTACTGATTTTCTTTTTACCTATGTGATAGACCATTTGTAAGTCCTGGCAAGTGCACGAGTCACGGTAGTATAGTGCTCAACTAAGGGTCGAATCCACGAGGAAAATGTAACTAATTAATTGGAAAAATAATTAACTAAAAAAAGGAATGAAATTAACTAAAGGAAAGTTTTGAGAATGTTTTGGTTGAGACTGGAAAAAAAAAGTTTGAATTTAAATGGATGCAAGGAATTTAATTCAATAGAAATAAAGTGATTAAACAACTAACAGAAAATTGGTTGAGAACTTAGCAAGGAAAAAGATAGTCCATGATTATGAATCAGTCACAAATTTTTAGTACTTGTGAGATGTTCTGCTTCCTCTGAGCAATTCCTGCTACGTGGCCGGATTCCAGTCCGGGTTATTCTCCTATCAGTCTGAGCGATTCCAGTTAAAACCCTCCTGCTGCTGCGTTATTTTCTTATCAGCCCAGAAAACAACCATTCCAGCGTTTTTGTCGTTGGACCCTTGCACTCTTCTTTGTTCTTGGGCTCTTTTTCAGCTGATTTTGGATTGTTGGTGCTGCCCTTTTTTAATTTGGACTTTGGATCGTTTTCCTTTATGCGTACCTAGACTCCTTTGTGTTTTAACTTCCCCTTTTTTGTTCTTTATTTGTTGCCGTATAAGTTAAGAGGAATAATCCTCTTTTTCCTTTTGCTATTTGCTCCGCAGGAGTCTTTTAAACAAAAGTATTTGGCTCATTTGCTATCAATTTTCCAACAGCCCTTGGAAAAGGAAAAATATCCACAAATCGGTCTAAAAGTCCTCAAATCCATCAAATTAAAGTTCTCACCTGTAAAATTCATTTTTTAACACAAAATATAACTCAAACCTCTTAATTAGGCAAATAAAAAGTATAGAATTGTGACAAAAATAAATCACAAATTCCAACTTATCATTGTGGGCATCAACCAATATTAATAAGGACAAATAAAATAAAAACAGAAAATAAAACACCAAAATGAAAAGAATCTATTAAAATTGAACCAATTCATAAAACCATATTTAAGTTGACAAATTTAAAAGAACGACCTTGCAAAAACCATGACAGATTGTAAAAAGATGAATTTGCCATTAAAATGAACAACTATTAGCAAAACAGGTTAAGCCCCATGCCTCCCGCGGTTAAAACATTTTCAATACATTAACATTTTTCAAAGTTAAATGCAAGCAAAAACCAATCCACATTCTATTTTATAAAAATCAATAGTCAAAATGAAATAGTCAGAAAATTATAAATTTAATCTTAACACAAACTTCCAAATTAATTAATGATGGATTTTCAACAACCAAGGGTCAAGGGGTTTAATTTTGTTGCAGCACCAAAAAAGACCAAACAATTTACATTTATGACTTTTATGTAGCTCTATTAACTTCTCCCTTACATTAATTAACTAAAAAGGTACCACAAGAGAAGGAAATTGACCCATATTAGGACTATCACCGCAAGAACCGTCCTTGAGAAGCTCATGATGAATAGAAGTTTTATATGTACTATTTATATGGGAAGTCTTTAAATAAAAAAGATTTATTAGTTACTAGACCAAATTTGCAATTAAATAAAGTAACGAAACTAATAATGAAAAAGCACGGGACGAAAAATTGAAAATCTGCTACTTCATGTTATGGGACGAAAATTACAAAAGGATATATTTTTTGGTTATAAAAATTGAAAATATGTTGTATCATTTTTTGTTGCATTTTATTGCACTGTATTACTTTTTATTGTATGATGTTGATTACTATTTTTAGTTGTTGATTTAGATTTTTATTTATCTTTGTTAGTTCCTTGAAATAAATATAACTAAATAGATTTCTATACAAAAACCAAAATAATAAGTTTGAATTTATGAATATGAAGAACAACTAGAAACAAAAAGAAAAAAAAACAAGAATTTTAGAGTTATCAACAAAAAGGAACACAAACAAACAATACGCAAAAAACTAACAATACAATAGTACTATGAATAATTGATAATTTAAAGTACTCTAAGAATTATGATATTACAAAATTCGTTTATTTTCAATTTTTTGATTTCTTTTTTTTTATTTGTCAGTTTTTTTTTTTAATTTACACTCTTAAAAGATTAATTAAACTTCTGATTTTATACATTTTTTGTAATATATTTGGTTTTTTGGATATTTATAAAATTTAATTTATATTTTTCATATTTATAATTATATTTTTATATGATTTTTTGAATATTTAGACATTTATATGTTTATATGATTTTTTTAGTTTTGATATGAATATATTCCAAGATTCTCAAAGTAGTTACTTTTTCATTAATAATTACGGAGTATAATTCTATTCATATTGTTTAATAGCTACAAAACATTTTTTTAATCTTACTTTCGTGTTTTGTTTATAATTCAAAGATTTTTCGGTTTTCAACATTTTTTACTACACTTTCGATGTCTAATATATTTACAGTTAATATTTTTTTTATATAAATTATACAGAGTATTGACTATTTACAGAATTGCACTATATAAATCGTATTTGTATCCATT